GATCCTGCTTGAACGATCCGACTCTTCTGTTAAAGAGGGACTGCTGAGAGCTGGAGGTAAAGGAGCCCGTGGACATGTTGCGAGCTACGAGTCATAGCGCGTGTCAGAATTACCTCCCAGCCACTTCACCCAGATCCATGGAATAGCATGCATGGAATGAATTAATAGATACATGGATCTCCGGATGGACTATCTGTTTTGAGCAAGTTATCAGCTGGCCAGGCTCGGTAACCGAGGTGCTTAAATCTTCAAATCTTAGTCGGTATACATCCGCTTTCTGGCAACAATGGACCCAAGAAAGGTTGGATCCAATGACAATTGTGTTCTTCATACGGTTCAAATCCTGCCTGATAACTTACGCGGTGACTTCAACCACTCCCACGCTCCCGAGCCACAATTAGCTTTTTGCACAATCACGGCACTTAAACACAGCCGTGTCAAAAAAGTTTAGCACATTTCTCCTATGATTTCCTTTCTACTATCCCCTTCCTTAATTACGCTTTCTCCTCCGCACTCCGTCCGGAGGAGGGAGCAACTTGAAAAGATAAAAGGGGAAGAATAAAAATAAAAATCAAATAATGGGGGACAAACTTGCATAAGCAATCAATCAACCCAGCCGCACGACTATGACACAGCCACATACCCTCTCCCGTCTAATCAATGCAAACAAATAACTCGAACCTCTAGTCCCCGCAGTTCATGCCCAAACCGGCAACTCGGGCGTCAAGACAACGATTGTGTCTGCATTCCAGTCTAGCCCGTTTCATATGCACAACTTTCCCATCTGGTAAAGATTGCGGCTGGGCAACCAGTATGGTGGCGGATTATCAGCCATCGCTGGTCTGGACACACTGAGCATTGCCCTGATTGGAATAGCCGATTCATCCCATCTTCCCAGTGTAGTGTACAGCCGCCCTTTGTGAAGTTCGGTTAAACGTTGCCAAGACCGGTGTCAGGTTTAGCGACAGGTGTAATGAGCGAGGAACGCGTAACCAACTTCGTGGACATTTAAATTCCTCTTCATCATGGATGGTGCTTCGTGCACCGCTCACCGAACCAGACCTTATATTCCCTGAAACGGGGGTGTTCAACAGCTACAACCTACTCCATATATCTCTAGGTCAAGCATGAAGGTCACGGAGGCAGGGTGGTTAATCCCTGATACACCTAGAGTTTTGCATGGTTCGGCTACCGGCTACCAAATCCAATTCCTGGAAACCTCCAGAGGTTCTATGATCCCATTACTTTAGTGACTTATTGTCGCGGGTGGCCATCACAAATGAAAAAATATCTGCAACAATCCTGGGTTCAATTGTGTATATATATATTATATTATTATATATAATTTTTTTTTCATCCACCTAACTTAAATTTTCCCCGTCCTAATGATTACCACTTTCTCATGTGAAATGGAATAGAATTAACTCCACAAAAGTGGAGAAGCCCTTTGGCTGGAAACGCGAACTGTCACACATCACCCATTTACATCGCGGGGCAAAAGAGATTGGAGTCACGGAAAGTGGTAGGCCGAGGCGGATCGAGTAACTTAATCAATCCAATAACCAATTCCGCTTTCCTTCCAAAATTGTCGAGAACTTTTTTTTCTCCTTGTCAGGAGACGAGGATCAAAAATAGCACGCCCTTTTCTGTCAGCCGGGTTTTCTGGTCGTTTATTAGCTTCTTTCAGCGCCTGTTCGGGTGACCAATTGGGTCAACTCCGGTTGGCTGAGCCCAACGAGCTCGTCAGTCCTTCGCCTCCACCAATATAATCCTCACATTTTTCCACCATCCATTAGCCATTCTTCCGTACATATGATATCAGGACCATTGAAAGCTATTGGTTCTTCCAGGAAATATGTTTTAAACTATGACCCAACTGTAGATTAACAGCTACAGCGACAACTATGGTGATGTTGAGACATGCAGCATTTGTGAACTTTGACCCTTAGGCTTCTAATTGTTTGTTGTTGACCTTTCTAAGAAAACATCACCGTGTCGGAACGAGACCTTTTTTTCTTTCCCTGACATTCGACAACATCCTACGGGAGAACACTGGTTCCGCCCTCGCGAAATCAACAGCGCGCTCTCTGGCTCCAGAATCGCTCTACATTTCCCTTCATGTAGCTGACCTCCCCGAGCCCGGAGGCCGTCAGATTAGATAACTATATCTCAGATGATTACGAATATCGCGTTTGTGCTTTCGTTCGGGGGGATCCACCCAGCTAGCTACGTTATATACGGGCTATCTAGATCAGAGGAGCATCACAACATTATTGTTGGACGTCTGAGTGGTTGCGGCTATGCTGTGTGCGGGACGCTAGTCCGTAATAGGACGTCTAGTCTTCCAATAACAACAACAACAACATTAATCAACTGGTCATGTGACTGAGCTAGGCCGAATCGGGATGAGAGGGAAACCTCCAGCAATTAATTTTTCAGGTGACCCACTCAGCCCTAAGAGACGGGGGCACGCGGCGGACTCCTTGGGGAAATTATAAGTGTATCATGGAATACATTCTCACTCTTGAAGGTATGTATGAACCTGAACCATATATAACTACTTCAAAGAGAGTTTTACAGTGGTTAAAGAATACATTCCAATCAGATTCACAAATCTGCATTTTATACTTGAAAAGAATATGAGAGTTTGCTACAGTGTAGCAAGAGAGTTATTCATGTATTAAAGGACTATCTATCTACAGTGACCAAGTAGAAATAACAAGCAGGAAGACAACAAGTGATGCATGCATGCCTGTTAGTGACACAAATGGTATAACTATTATTCAACAACATACATAGCTCCACAAAAGGTCCAGCGCGAAAGAAAAAAGAAAGAAAAACCAGAAGAAAATAATGAAGAAAAATACACCTTCATTTATCTTCATCTGACTGCTTGTTCCTTTTAACTCAAAAAAGAAAGGACCACTAAATAGGCGATTAATTGGCTACTCCAGACAGCAACCAAAGCCAAATCCTGTTGACATGAACCTCATCTCAAATTCCCACTCTCCTCATTCCAAAAAAACACAGAACTTAGCTCCTATCAAACTTGTTCAAAAACTCCGTCGGCACGGAGGGTATATACTTTCTCTCCCTCTCCCGATTCACACCCCCAAACCCAGCACCATAGCTTACAAGCATATCCGTGCTTGTCGGGAGTGAAAATGGGAGTGTCTTAGATGGATTCAGGAGGAGTGTTGAAGGGTCTGGTTTTCGGGGGGGGGAGAAAAGAGACGGTGTGGATGAACGGCTTGGTTGGATGATGGTGGTTAAGGAGGATCCATTGTTATGAGATGGACGTGGTGTAGATGGTGGTTCTTTTTCCCCGGTGGATGTGGTTGGTGGTGGATTTTCGGGTTCACGGTTATTGTTCGTGGTGGCCGACTCCGGAGCACATGCGCCTTTCGAGTCTGTGGCAGGAGAAGAGCCGTTTTCTTCCTGTTTTAGTATAGGAGTTTGTGGGTGGTAGATTTGGTCGAGACGGGATGGGTCATTTTGTAACTCGACAAGGAACTTCATTGCGGCTTTGGAGAGGCCCTTTTCTCCCACTTCGGGCCGGTAGTGTTTCACGGCATGTAAGAGTTGGCTCGGGGTGAGTTGCTGGAGTTGCTGAAGGGTCGCGATTAGGGATTCGGAGTCATCGCCTAATGAGGAGAAACATTGAAGCCACTGGAGCAGCTGTATAACGGGGGCTAGGTATTTGCGAGCAGAATCTACCGTGATGTCACCGGTGCATGACGTTGAGCCGTTCTCGTAATGTTCCGGCTGCCGGTTATTGTTGCGTGCCCAGTCTTCTAGTGCAGAGACATTCATACGAATCTGCATCGCCTTTGTTCGGGCTAGATACCGTTTAGTGGTCATAATGCGGTTGAAGAGCTCTGCACCTAACCAATAAAAAAGCTGCGCTAGAACCTGCGTCGTAATGATAGAGTGCACGTCGTACAAATCTAATACGAACAACGTTGACGAAAGTAACGACGTGATATTTCGAGGCGACACCTGCGCCCTCCGTTTAGGTGACGGAGGGCGATACCTCTTTTCCAGTGGCTCAGGTTTTACCTTTGTCTTTGAACGAAATAGTTTCCATTCGTTCTGGAAATGGACATCTTCAAATCCAGGAATAGTCTCGTGGTCCAGCATGGCTGTATCCAGAACCTTATCCATGCGTCGCTCAGCGTCCCGGATGATAAGAATGAAGATCTCGTGTATTAGTTCAGCAAGATGGAGTTGAAATTCAACTGTGGCTTGCACCAAGTCACCATCTTTCTTCAGATAATGCAGGAGAAGGGTTGCGTTAGATATCCAAAAAGCCAAAATGGTCATATCCCACTGGTGCTTCTCCACCACCTCATTAATCCGCTCAGTCGCCGAAATGAGCAGTTTAGCCAACAGCTCCTGGCTCGAATGGTAATGTGCGTATCTTGCGCTGAGGAAAAGGAGGTTGGCTGGGACGGGTTTTTGCGAAGGTGATCGCTGCGGCGTCATGTTCGTAATAACGATATCCAGAATATTTTCAAGTTCGCTCTCTTGGAAGACAAACATCTGATCATTAAGACATCGATCCCACACAAATTCCTGCTGATCCTCGAAATCATCTGGAGACTACCATTGGGCGAATAGATGTCAGTTAATGAGATGTCCCTACAATTCTCATTCAATGGGAGTAATTGTTAGAACATACATCAAGCTTCTCGTCAAGTCCCAAACTCGACAAGTCAACTTCCAAATTTATTGCACTCTCCTCCATAATCATCCTCCTTTTCATTTCATTCTCAGCCATCTCTTCCTCAAACCTGTTATGCGAAAATCCAGAGTCATAGAAGTCACCCACAGCTGCCGCTGCACCAAAATTATACCCATTCTCATTTAGATATTTCGAAATGTCGGTCCCGGGCTGTACGAAATCGAACGCCGTCCCACCGGAGGATGACTTGATATCAGGTGAAGCGCCATGATCAAGCAGAATTTTCGCAATCGTTTTGTGTCGGTTCGTCATTGCCCACATGAGCGCGCTCCATTGATTTCGGTCTTGCTTGTCGACATAGGCACCCGCCTCAAGAAGGGCAGAAACTACCTCGTGGTGTCCCTACAATTTATTAGGGAAAGAAAATAAAAATATTACCGTGGTCAGCCCCATATCAAACTGTGATGAAATAAATAGAAGGCCCGCGCATTCCATCCCCTAAGGATAAAAAGGGGTTTGTGACCTACAAAACAACTAGCGTATATCAGTGGCACCGTCCCCTCCTCATCCGGAGTGTTGACATCGACATATTCCCTCGCTTTTCCCTTCACTAGCTTTCGCACCCGTTCTACATCACCATTGCTGGCTGCCATATTCAAGCTCTTTTGTAAAACTTCCCGTTTTTCGCTATTTGACATATTCTCGTCTGCGGCGATATCATCCTCATCCATACCGACGAATTCCACCTCCCTATGCGCAGCCTGGGCTGCCAACATTTCTATCAATCTCGCGTCAGAATCCTCCATGCGCGCAGTAGAATTATCTTCTCGATCAAGGTAGTAACTATTTGTGTATTGGGAGCGAATGCTAGGTTCTTCATCGTGGCTTTCGTCATCGAGCGCAAGGTTGAAGGATAGCGGTCTCGCAGGCACTGGGGTAGTAAGGAACTGGGATTGGCCTAGTCATCTTCTTGTCAACAATTTCATCCAAAATTTTCAAGAATGAAATCAGGAAGATAAAGCAAGTCATGAGATAGCGTCCCGCCACAGTCCCCAAACCGTCCCTAGGTAGAGCAGATCAAGTATCATATTCCTTCCTTCACCTTCCCTTTTTCCCAGCAACAAGATAAAGATAGCAAAATCAAGCACGCACCTTGCCACGCATCATACATCTCCGTCTCCGCCGGAAACGTCAGCACAGACCTTCTATCATCCAGCGATGTGGGTAGATCATCTGGTAGCTGTCTTGGCTTATGAGCAATATCCTCCTCCTCCCCCTCCTTATCAACACTGTAACTGTTCATCCCCGCATTTTTATTCTTAATACCGAAATCGAAGCCCTCCTCTCTCGGGCGTGGCTCACTACCGTCCATGGTGTTTGCGGTCAATGATATATGCATATATATTTTATGTACAAGGCGACACTAGCAACGGCGACTAGCTGGCTAGGTCGTTCGTCGAAAGGGTATATGCATTCAATCAAACTCCGGATGTACTAGCAGTGGTCAGCCCAACTTCGTTGGTTTGGGGGTCCATGAGGGCCAGGGACCTTTGGGGGGAATAAGCGGGGACCGAGCGAGGGGCAACCGATGAGGATTTGCTTTTGGGAATTATTGATTGCTAAGTTGGGACGGTAGAATGGGATGGTTAAGAGAGTATTTTCCCGTCGTTGTTTGTATTTTGGATGTGCATCCGAGTGAAGCGGAGGGCAAAGATTAGGTAACCAATGGATATGTGGTGGAATGAGGTTAAGAGAAGGTTTGGATGTTGTGGTTTTGGGAACCCGGCAAGCTTACAGAAGCCAAGTTCCACCCCACACAAAGGCAACCACACGTGTTTGACGTCTAATATCTACGATCAAAATATACTTTTGGCTCTATTTATGTATTTGTGTATCTGATCGAGAGATATTGTATGCTTTACCTTGATTTATGTGACTGGATAATGTGGAGCGCTGCTCGCAAGAATCATATATGAATCTCCCTGAAACTGTATTATTCCATGCCATAACCCTGATAAAGGGCGGGAAAACTCCATATATTATCTATCCCGTAGCAAGTAGCCAAACAATAGTATGCAAGAATTTCTGACAAACATTACAATAAAAACTCCTGGTACCCCGCCCAGAAAAGAGGAAGGACAAGCACACACACACACACACACACACACACACGAATGACAGCTAGCCAGCTGGAAATAGAGCAGGGAAATAAAAAGAGAAATTAAGGCTCGTAAGAAAATACTGAACGCTATGAGGAGAAACAGAGATCATGATGCCCATAATAATCATACAACGCTTATCAAGACAGACCAATAGTAAAACAAATAGATCGTAATCCGCCATTAGATAAGGCTAAGGTTAAAGGAAACTCGTTTCGGCAAAATCATAAACGAAATATGAGACTAGGACGAAAGCCCTTCTATTAAACCAAAGAAATTAAACAATAAAATAAGAAAATAGGAAGAAAAATCGCCCGTATCTGCCTACTGAGAATGCTCAAGGCTTTTGCTCAGAGCCACGATCTTCTCATCAGACAGCGCAGATATCCAAAGACAGCGCTCGATGATACCATGGGCAGGCTCGAAAGTATACTTCGTACTAGCATCAATGAGGCGAAGCAGGCTTTTCACAATCGTCGCTGCAGTGCGATACCGCTCAAAGTTCACGAGGGGCTCACCATCCCGCGTGCTCGCTATCTGGGCAGGCTTTTGGGAGTTGTAGGTTAGGTCTTGGACGTAGAGACCTAAATTTCAGATTAATATTCTTGGATTCTCAGGAAGCATGGCTTTGGGAAGGCATAGAAAACTGCACTCACCGATAAACGGAACACATCCGTCCTGCAAGTTAGTAGTTTCCATCTCTAACCGCAACTTATGGAAATTGCGAATCGGCTGGATCAGCAACTCCATATCCCTAAGCAACCCCTTCTCGCCGTCTGACACAAGCTCCCATGTCTTCGTCAGCCGCGTACAGTCAACTGAAGATAGGGCAATCGTAATCTGCAACATGGTCGAGTAATTCCGTAACCTCCGCGCGTGGACAGCTACATGGATGAGTTTGGTGATCGTCTGTGCTCTCTCGGCAATATTACTTGTCAGCACAACCTCCGACACCGCCCATTTCACCATTAGATTGAACCGGGCGACGACCAGATCGATACCCCTACGATCACTCTGGGAGAGATAATCTGCCCAATTTAGCGTTGACTGGGATGAGTGGCTCCATTTCATATCAACTAGATCCTTCCAGTCAACTTCGTTCAGTGCGGCTTTTTCAATAAGGGTAAACTGCTGGGCCAAAATCATGGATTCACAGCCTAGAACAAATGGTAAATGATGTGAGTTCGGTGATGCCATAGTCGAAGTTCCTTGGGTTGGTATCCGCGCTTGCGACGGCGTCTGGGCCTGTGAACTAAACAAAACATTGTTCGAAAAATGTTGCATATCCAATGTTCGCGGTGCCATCATACTGGGCAGATTTTTACAGTTGGGTGACAAGTCTGGGGTAATCGGTTGCCTTTGGAAAGAGAGGGGATCTAGAGGAGCAGCATAAGAAGATGTCGATCCGGGATGTTGCACGGTCATCGGTGGAGAAGGAGGGTGTGTCAACGGATGAGAAAGAACCCCTAGGCTCGGGAATTCCATATTTCTGCCACTAATCACACCTATCCCATATTGTCTGTCGACAACTTCATCTTTATCAATCACTGATATCTCCGAAGACAGTTCTGAGCAATAGCCATTGTCATTATCTTCATCACAGTCGACACAATCATTGCCATTTGCTTCCACAGTGTGTGGTCTCGGAATGGTTGAACCTTGGGGAATTCGCTTCATACTCTCTGTCTCTTCAACCATATCGATCGATGGATGTGAAGATTGTGGTTTTTCAACTGCTTGATTTTCATACGGGCCGGACAATGGCTGTGAGACTGGAATCAACTCCCTAAAATTTGGGCTTTTCATGGAGTCGTCATTCAAACCACGTTCAAGGAGTGGGATTGAGCAGTACGAATCCTCGGAGCCCATGAACGATTCAGCATATTGTCCGGTCATTGCAGACGATCTTCGATCTCTTGAATCCAACTGGGACGCAAGCGCAGCATCAGGTTCTGCAGTGTGCCGTTCTTGATAAAAATCTCCCTTGGGATCCTGGTTGTGGTTATCTATGCAGTTATCGACATAATTGGCGCCAATGTGGTGATGATCCTGACGGATGGCCGACGACGGCTTCTCCCATTTCCCTTCCAGCTTTAGCAGAGTCGATTCAATCCCTCCATCTTCGTCGTCTGGAATCTTGGAGAACCCTGCAACGGCAGCCTCAAATGACGCTCGTATTTGTTGCGAACGACGTTTTCCAACAAATGAGTAACTTGTTGGAAGGAGAACTTCCTCAGGATGATCGCGTTTTTCAATCGATGAAACTTCCTCGCCATAACCCCCATTCATATACAAGACGGATTCCCCCATTGATTCGGTATATGATGTCGTAGAGACAAAAGATTGAATAGTTCCAGCTTCTAAATCATGGACATTTTGTATTTTCCTAAGGTCCCCACCTGGACGACGGCGAAGCATTCGTGCAAGAGGTTTCTCCGGAGCTTCATGGGGAGATACAGAACGTGATGCGGATTCTCTTGTTGAACCAACCCTTGAATTTGCCCCACGTCGTATGATCCCACCGTGATAGGAAGCATACTTTCGAATTTTAGTCGATGAAGCTCTTACTGGAGTTTTTGACCCGCTGCGAGGTATAGAAGGTCTAACGTATTCTTCAGAGCACCGGAAATCTCGGGTTGTAGATATAGAATGATCCGAAGCATAATGTTGCAAGGACGGTCCAGGGACACTCACCAAAGTATCAATGGCTTCTTCAGGAGGTTGTAACGGCGTTTCTTGGGATTGTCGTGAACCATTGGAATTAGTGATAGCTTGCAGAGCCCCAGACATCATGGGGATCGGTGGGCGGGTATCATCCACTATAACAATTGACTTGCTCCCAGCTGAGAGCTGGCTATGTATCCTCTCTGGCCAGACCCCAAATTTATAGATATTTTCCGGGTTTAGCCTGTCCACAACCGGCTGCGGAGTTACTTTCTCTGATTCAATGTCAGAAACCTTAGGTACAACAGGTCCTAACTTCCGTGATTCTTGCATAGTAAAATGGCGATAGCTCTGGAGGGCATCGTCACACAAAATGTCAATCCGTGGAGTGACTCTAGCATCGGGACCTGACCGTTTCTCCCTGTACGCATCTGATCCGACCCCGACGTTGAGGGGAAGTGCAGAGGTTTTACCCCTCAATGGGGCCATGGGATTTGGGCTCGTTGCCTGCGGGCTGCTTGAAGAATTGCTACTATGCCTATTTTGCAGAGCTCGACGAATATTTCCAATGAAGGTTTTCATAGCTGGTGGGTTCTTGGAAGAATTCCCCCCCTTCCCTGTCGTCTCTGTTTGCAAGATATCAAAGTGCGCTGCTTCCATCGTCGGCGACGGGGGTGCGATTGTGGGCACAGATGGGTCAATTGGCGCATAGGCATTGCCTCGAATGATATTTTCCGTCTGAGGCAACGCTTGTACGAGGGACTTTCTCTGAGTGTCAAGGTTTAGTGCTGGTAAGGGTGCTCTATCATCCCGAACCGAATCTGAAAAACTTCCACTCCGTTTATGGGAATGAGCCGGTCGACGCCATACAGGGATCATGGGTGCCGATGACAAAGGAGCAGGAGATGCAGGAGAAGTTCGTGGTGAAGTCGTTACCAAAACGAGATATGGCCCCTTCGGACGGGTAGAGTGGACAGATTCCCTTTTTGGGACTTTGGAGGGAAGTGAACATGAAACTGCTTGAATGCTTTTTACACTATCTGCTGATGGCGGTAGATCTTGTCCGGATGCTGTCGATATATTGCGTACATGAGACTGGGAAGAACGGATGTCTTTCGCCTTGGGCTGAATGGTCCCGGGTGGAGGAACGGCAATGTGTAAGGAAACTTCTTCAGATTGCGATTCAACGGCCCGCAAAGAGGAGGGGATACCGCTTAAGCAACTTAGGCGAGCATCTCTGGATCCTGCAACACCTCCCGGAAGGACTTTCTCATCAGAGTGGGTGTCACTGGGGAAATTTGGCAAGTCCCAGTAGAGAGCGCATCTTCCATTCCAGCACCGTTTTAAATCAAGAAGGATTTTCAGGTCACTTGCGCTGTTGTTGCTGCAATTTTTCACATTCTCATGTATTTGGTTGAGTTTTTGGCAAAATTGAACTCGAAGGTCGCGATTGATAACAAAATCGTCGACAAAGTAATTAAGAATCCAGTGCCTTAGTGCTGCAAATGTTCGAATTCGGATAATCCTCCCGTCATCTTCTGGTCTATTAATTGCCCATTCAAGCCTTGCTAACAAAAGGGAGAGCAGGTTACTTGGGGAGAGGTAGGTGCGGAACGTTAGGAAAAAGTCAGAAACCAATTCGTAGTCCATAAATGAGTCCGATGAAATTTGTGCAACTATCCGAGCTGGAGTTGCGGCGGATATTTCGTTCGAACCTTTAACATAGCGGACAACTGACGGGTCATCCATAACGCCAACAAGAAAATTAAAAATTGAAGGTTCGATTGGCTCTCTCAGTTTGTAAAACACAGATGCCTGAGCTGGTAGCGATGTGGGTATTTCAAACAAAACCCGAGATCGGGTATATTTTGATGACACATCCGGAAATGGCTGAGAAGGCTCTAAGGCTTGGTTTAAATGTGAGAGGTTCAGCGTCATATCAAAGTCATTTGCCGTCAATGAAGATGATCGAATGTTGCCACATACAGACGTCCTGGTATAAGCGGAACTGCGTAAGGTCGGATTTCCTTCTGACGTAAATCGAAACCCTCCGAGGCGGAAGTGGGGAATTGGAACTTCAATGGCTGGAAACGGAGGTTCACCAGATTTAGGACGGTCCGATTCATGCCGTTCAATCACAACTCGCAGTTCTTTGCGAGTCTGTTTAGAATCAGATGTCGGAATTTCATCCAGAGAATGCCGCGTTGACCCTTGGTCGTCCGAAATCGTTGACGTATCATATGTGCTTTTGTTGCTGTTCTCCCGGACAAGGTGGGGTCTAAGCTCTGACAATTGGGAGTTCGACCACATACTATGTCTAGCCAATCTGGGCTCATCGTCCTGGTGGGCCTCTGAACACAAGTATTGTTTGGAGCGTGCGGTGGCGGTTTTCACGAATGGCAGGTCCTGCATTTTGTTTCGGTTCGTGGGTCTATAGTTATCCATAAATATTGTTGTTGGGAACATCAATTTGTAAGCTTAGATAAAGCTTCGGACAGGACGCGCGTGAATTCATATCATTTAACATACCTCAAGTACATTTTCCCGTTGTGACCAACATTCCCAACCGTGAAGTTTCTTGCTTCTCTTCCTCCAAGCATTGCTTTTCCAATACTTTCTGGCGTGACGTCGATTGTGTTTGACCGCTTTAAGGCTCTTTGCCTCAATACATCACTGCTATTCTTCACACGGCGCAGTGAATTGGAACTTTTCTTTCCCTTTGAACTATGGCTTCTATTCAGCTTTTTCGCATCTAGTGACATGCTATGACTTCCTGGCTGTAGAGTGTGGTTCGACGGCTGTTTCGAGTGCAACTGATTGGCTGCCCGCCCTGTGAAAATCCAAGGCGGCTTGCCATCCGATTTTACGGGAGTCAAAGCTGTTCGTTCCGTGAAATGAGATTCCATTTTCATAGCTATATAGGTATCAGATCCGAGAGAAGGAATGAATCGAGGCCGCAAGTTTCTTTAAACTGGTAACCGAAAACTGAAATCGCGACGACTCTCACCCTGGGATGTTCGAATACAAACGCAGTGCTGAAAGGAGATGAGGAGGAAGGAGGAATCGTTCGCGTCGCGTCACATAACCGGACCAAACGATGAATGAATATATGTCTTGGAAGTCGAAGTTATGAGAAGGACAAAACCGGTATTGGTATCGAAGCTGTCAACAACAACAACAACAACAACAATGAAAATGGGGGGAGGGAACAATTCTAAGCTACGAAAGTCGAGGGAACACAAGCGGCCATGGGAGCCAAAGAAAACACTAAAGAAATAAAGATGGACAGCAAAACCAAGGTCAACAACTGCCACGGTCAAGCTCCCCGGCGAATCATTATAGCTCAGGTCCGTGTATCAAGTTCGACTTCAAGCCTACTCTCCGCTCACTTTGCGTGACCTGGGGTACAACCAGAGTCTGATTTCCGAACAATGCTAGGGCCAAAGCAAGGCAAGAAACCTGCCACAAACAGGGCTCACTGTACCACGGATTTGCGACTTGGTTTTCCCGATGCGAGGTGTTCCTGGGTTGGCCCCCCTCTTGTTCCTGAAATGGGAATATCAAGGAACGGATGGGTGAAACGCGGGAAAAGCGCGTCCTCAGAGGGAAGGAATCCAAACAAAATGGTGGAAGAAGACGTGCAATAGTTGAAGTTGGATTTGAGAAGTGAAAATGTCGAAGTAAAGCGGAGGTTATAAGAAAAAGCCCGACGGGATGTTGAGCCTTCGTTACGTTAATGAATGGAGCCGCCGAATGAAACAAGCGGACTTCAGAAGGTCTGGGCCAGGAGTGAGATATGAGAAGTACTCGACCTATGGCCTCGTGTTGATGATGAGAGGTGAGTTTCGATGGCTGGGCTGAGACGGGACGATGTTGTTCATTTGTTCTGGACTGGGAGGATTGCTGCTGCTTGAGGGGGGATGCTTGCCGGGCTAGTCAGGAATCGACTTAGCCGTACCGACGGTAAATGCATGACCGTACTCCGTTACCTATAATTCCACCGAGCATCCGACTCCCAGGCAGGACATAACTTGATTCTTGTTACTATTATTTACAGAGTCCTGCCCGTTTACTGGCGCCTGTGGGCACCCCAAGAAGGAAAATGCGCTCGAATTTGCTAGCGTTCTGGTCAGACGACGCAAAAAGTCACTAGATACGGTGGTGTTCAACAAATAGGAACAAGGAATACAACGGAGCACATACAAACTAATTACGCATCCTGTCCATGACACCTTGATATCTCGGAGTTCATGGATCTCTGCAAAGAAAGCCACATAAACCCACACAATCCCCGCAATCCACACCGAGCCAAGGCGGTAAACATGCTCTACGCATCGTACAAGCATTCAACCTATTTACATACATAAACATGGAAGTTCTGTGCGTATTCATACGCATATAGTGATACAGAACGTGGGGCTGCCCATAGAAAATCAGCAATCAATTTTGTCCGGAAACAGCACAGCCAGGCTGAGCCAGCCATCTGCCATAGTAGGTCCGCCCCCCTGTCAGATCAGAAGTGGTGCGATTAACTTCTCACTCCCTGCTAATGATTGACTCGCTTGCTGATAATAATGTGGAAATTACGGGCAAACCAAAGCTTCTCATTGGGATGTTTTCTCATATCCCAGAATAGATCTCCATTGTCAATTCTGATTGAAGCCAGTGCAACCGATAATCCCACGCTGTTTATCGGGAAGAGCAGTCACATTGTTCACAGCTCCTCTCTCAAAAATCGGTCCCCGGATAGCGACATCATAGATTGTGCGGAGGCAGTTTGGATCCATTATTTGCCGTCCCTTGCCACTCATCACATCGTCACAGTTATTATCCTGTTCAAAAGAAGAAGAAGAAGAAAAACTAAAAAATATTGAAAGGAGTCCATCCATATGTCATGATAAATTATATGATGGAACCGTGTCTCATATTTCCATCGTATTGTGGCAATTTCTTTTTTTCTTTTTTCTTTTTTTTTTTTTTTTTTTTTTTTTTTTTTTGAGTGAGCTTGGGCACTTGCCAATTTCTAACACGGCTGATCCTGTTCCGATAGACTGGGTATACTAAAATAATGCCCAACGGAATCATACCAAGATTAGCGGGTGCTGGCGCCTCCGGGGTCCCGGGCCATACTGCGAAACTTAATAAACTCTTGAATCTCCAACAATTCATGCTGATGCGCTAGCAAAAGTGGAGTTTGTTTTCACCGTGAACTTTGCTTTTATGGATTTTCGCTACGGCTCAGCTTTGGGGATTTCGCCGCGGATGGTTACTCCCGAATAACAATGGGCGTATGGAGTAACTGCGAGTACGAGATTGTGTGGAGAGGAAGTGCAGAGGATTCCTATATGGAGGAATCATCTCGTTTCTTGATATTGAGTTTGCCAGGATACTTACTTGCCGTTCAGCAAAACCCAACTATTGGATTTGCTGTTGACATATTTAACAAGGATGAACTGAATTGAATTTCCCAGTATTTGGCCTTTGCTTGATTCCACATGGGGCAGAGGACCTGGAAGAAAATTCATGCATCCCAATGTCGTAGCCAGGCAAAGATGGCTGCGAAAACGAAAACGCTTCACTGGGAACTCTGTGAATATTTACTTGCGATGAACTTCATACCCCCCAAATCACAACTCTAATCCGAAGAATTCCTCAATGCTAACTGCTGATAAATATCTCAATTTTGCCGCATGAAATTGATGAATCACGGACAGTTTAGATGCCGTACATTACGCCAACAAACCCGCCACAATCGCCAAAATTGCTCTGTATCCGACAGAGAACGGGAAAAGAAGTCAAAAATCGTAAAGGCTCCTTAACTTTTCCACGTTTCTGTTAAGTTTTGAGGCCCAGAGAACAAGATCGTGGAAAAGATAGATATAAAATTTTTGAACACAGAGACGAAAGTCATCGCTTCTGAGTTCCATTGGCGCAATAAAATCACGGTCCCAACTTCTTCGTCTTCCATCTCCTCTATCCACTGGGCACCTGTGAACTGCAATTGGTCATATTCGACGTCAGCGACCCTTGGAAATCATGGGAGGGAGGTTGCAACAGAACAAGGGTCTGAAGAGCTTAAAGAAATTCACATCTACAAGATGGTTGGTGAAGAGATTGAGTTCAACGGCTCTCCCAATTCTAAAATATTCCACTCCAGCAGGTCGTTAGAAAGAATATGGCCAGCCAGACCGGCTATTCTCACTCACAACTCCAGTGCCGGGTTGAAGCCCCGATATAATTAGCTACGTATCCATCATGGATGATAACAACGTCTTAAATAACTTTTTGCTAATAAACCTTGGGTTCTCTCTTCTCGTGGATTTGCTGATTGAACACAAGGCTACGCTTCTAACAGTCAGGCATCTTTTGACGGAGAATGATTTTAGGGCTTCAAAGAACGAAAGACATGCGGTGGAGTGGGCGCTTGAGATTGTGATGCGGTAAGGGAAATTACGTGTCTCTCCTCTTCTCCTGTCTTTGTTTGCTTCAAAATATTGCGGTTTCGAAATACACCCCTGAGAGTATCTAAAGATATGTGCTGTTTTGAACGAATCTTCCACTCACCACTCAGAAGGATTTCTTGGAAAGCAGCAATGCACTGATCAATCTTTGCCTTGGGAAAGCCTAAATTTAGGGCTTCTTTGTGTGACTTAGCCCCCTTATTAAGCATTCATCGTCCTCATCAGAGGAAATCCCGTTGAATTCACTACGGAAACAACAGTAATAAAGAGTGAACAAATTATCAATCAGATTAAGTTTTTTAAGGTTAATTCGAAACCGGGTGATTGCCTCCCAGGACATGGGTTGTCACAGGGTTGCAAAACAAACGGTTTCGCCTTTTCATATTGCTTGTGATACTTTGTCCACAGCAACTGTTGGGATGAGAGGGCGGTCAGATTTACCTCCTTATTATGCCAAAACTGAAGAATCCATGCTTGTCCTGAGGCTGCAGAAGATCCTGGAACCAAAATTCAAGTTTGGGCATTTCAGACTTCGTCCACCGAAGCGGAAGCGGGTCTTCTTGCTTATATATATATATATAGTTATCCGTCGGAAGCAGGAAATGTGACAAATGTAATGTGCATCCATCATGCACATACGTTAAGACCTGTGATACTGCAAGCCTGGTAGCAAAAGGTGTTCAGAGCACACCCCACCTTCTGGTAAAATTGGCTTTTGCCAGTCACAATAACACACATCCCTGTACGGAGTAGCAGCAGCGCAATGTTCACTGCCATCATTTTAACTTCGAAGCCATCATGATTCCTCAATAAACATTCCCCCCCCCCCCCCCCCCCCCACCAATCCCACATCGTCTTCTGGCGAGAGGAATCTGATTGGTAACTTTCACGGTTCATTTTCACACCTTAGCTACTATTCACGATGCAACACCCATGGACATTTCAATCCGCGCTTGGAATATCATGCTGAACCCCACCTACACACCTGGGTAGCCCGGAGATGAAGTCAGCTTCAGGCCCCCTGTAAGCTTTGGTAAAGCGGTACCGTTAACCGCTGCCTGAGGAAGGAATTTGAAATGCAGGGAATTTTCTGACTTTCAATAAACTCGCCACAGTCGATTGATGGGATGACCCGCAACTTCATTTTTCCCCCGCCACAAACACTACAAAAAAAAAAGGGCTCCAAAAGGTCTTATTTATTTGCTCATAAGACAAATAGAATATTGTGGGATCTAGGAAGAATAAAAATCCCAACCGCTGAGAAAACAAGAAATAAATGAAATAACATATCACTTTTCACACCACAATATAATTTCCTCCCTGGATCTGTGGATTTCAGCAGGGAACAGAAAATCAAGTTTCCATATTCAACCAGTCCCTTCTTCTCCTCCATCCCATTTCTTGTTGGCAGTTGTCGATTGATATAACCACTCAACAACAGATAATACTCAAGTGAAAGCTGTCTTCCAATGCTACATAACATAGCAAAAACACCAGCCATGAGCAAGCATTCAGCGTTCTTGCCCAGAGAGGTTCCAATGTTCTATTAATTCAAGGTTGCTCCTTTTTCCAAGCCCTGGCGATGCAACATTCTCCAAATTTAGTTGACATGTCTAAACTTGGTCAGCGATGAGCCAACATGGATAGCGCTGCAACACGTGTTAGATTACTGCTGGCTTTCCCCATTCCCATTTACCTCGCTGCATGTCTCGATAAATTCGAAGAGTATATGGAGGGCTGGAACATCTGTCGGCACGGACGTGGAGGTGTTGCCTCCCAGAATGCAACGGGGAGGGACGTCACTTCTAGAAGATCTGTCGTAGATCTGGAGACCCATGGATATTTGACGGGCACTGCTTCATTTTCCGAAATTTGTTGTTCTCCTTTATTTTGCTTCCCTCCTGTTCGCTTACATGTTCTTTGATAAGTGCATACATAGGTCGAGAGATGAACTTGGGATCATAGATTTAGAATATCTCAATATGACGTAGTTGATGTCTATGGGGCCCCGGCATTTACTTCACAGCAGACAGGGCCATTACTTCAATGACAAGATGTCAGTCAATGCGATCGTGTTGAATTTAATGCTGAATGTTATTACCAATCGTCTCGAGGCTTTAGACGATGCCCTAAGCCCTAATCTCCTTCCAAGTTAGGTTTAGTGAGAGCGGGACCCGCAGCAGGAACCTAAATTGCGGTTCCGTGGGCAAGCCCCGCACTGATCTCCCATTGGCTCGTTCGCTGTCCCTCGGACCATTGCACGGTTTTTTCTCTTGGCGCAACAGTGTCAGCCTCATCCCAACCTCAGACATTCTCCCGACAAACACATCGCCAGCAACCACTATCAACTCCATTGAACCCATACAACGCCCCAGGACCATTCTACCTTAGACGTAGACAACCATGCCCGCCAAGGAGAAGGTCTGTTTGGCGTATTCTGGTGGTCTCGACACCAGCTGCATCCTTGCATGGCTCATTGAGCAAGGGTATGACGTTGTGTGCTTCCTCGCAGATGTCGGACAGGCAGAGGACTTTAAAGAAGCTGAGCGCAAGGCTCTGCTGATTGGTGCACAAAAGTTGGTTGTTGCGGATCTGAAGCGCGAATTTGTGGAGGATCTATGCTACCGCGCAATCCAATGCAATGTGAGTCAAATGCTTTGACTTTCTTTTTGATACTTTCTTATACCCCTCAATTGGCTGGCAGTGGAGGTGGAGGTGAAGAGTTGTATATCGACATATCAAATTCACATAAGCAGTGCGGTTCGTGCTAATGTACAGATATAGGCCATTTGGGAAGACAGATATCTCCTTGGGTAAGCTGTAATTCCGACCCGTTCCGCGAAATACTTTATTCCTGGTGCCGACAGCTAACTCACCATCTGTTTAGAACGAGTCTGTATGTAAACTCCGTTACCATTTCCAATTGGCGCCAAAACTTATATATATAAAAAGTGCTCGTCCCGTAATTGCGCGTGCGATGATGCGCTGCGCGAAGGAGGAGGGATGTGTTGCTGTTAGCCATGGTACGTCGTGCATGTAAACATCACTTTGTTGTTCTTGGAAGCAGTGTTGGGAATATAGTTCTGTGCTAACAATTCATGTTGCAGGCTGCACTGGCAAGGGGTAAGAATGGATTTTTCCCATATAGACTTGTCTAAGCAGAAATTGATAAGATGTATACAGAAACGATCAAGTCCGATTCGAACTTGCCTTCTACGCTATCCAGGTATGAACGGGTGATTGAAATGCCGACGACATCCCTACACAAATCCACGTAATGGTATCTGATTTTTTTTAACAGCCATCTATCCGAGTTATCGCCCCATGGCGTCTACCTGAGTTTTACAACCGATTCGCCGGTCGTAATGATCTCCTCAACTATGCTGAACAACACAAAATTCCCGTTATATCCACAAAGGCCAAGCCATGGTGCGTCTGCTTCGATCGAGAGCCCAATCATTTCCATACATTTTTGAAATACCAATGCTTACACCTAAGTATTATTACCAGGTCGATGGATGAGAAGTAAGAGTTTCACCACCTCGAAACGGCAGAGGTCAACCTGATTTTTAACCACTCAAGCTAATATTGAAGCTTAGCTTCGCCCACTGCTCCTACGAAGCTGGTATCCTTGAGGATGCCGATGTTACTCCCCCCGATGATATGTGGAAGTTGACAGACGACCCTCGAAATGCCCCCGATGCCCCAGAAGATTTCACTCTCTCCTTCGAGAAGGGTATCCCAAGTGCCCTAACTCTTGGAGGCAAGACGGTTACCGATTCCGTCGACATCTTCACCGCACTTAACGAGCTCGGCCGCAAGCACGGTTAGTTTCTCAAACAGTTTGAGCCCAAACTATACTAGAGGCACTGGAGCTAAAAGCAACACCTTTTAGGAATTGGGCGAATTGATATCGTTGAGAACCGATACATTGGCCTCAAATCTGTAAGCCAGCCCTTAGTTTTATTAAAACGTGGATACGTAAAAAGTAACATGCTAACTCACCATCCCCAGCGCGGCTGCTAGTAAATCTACCCAACCCAATTAGCCTTCCCTCTCACAACCCTCTCTTCACACCACAGTTTAAAAAATACTAACACACCACCCAGTGACTCGCCCGCCATGACCATCCTCCGCCTCGCCCACATCGACCTTGAAGGCCTCGTCCTAGACCGCGAAGTCCGACTCCTCCGCGACCAATTCGTAACCGTAACGTGGTCCAAACTCCTCTACAACGGCCTCTACTTCTCCCCCGAGCGTGAATTCATCGAGAAAAGCATCCTGGCCAGCCAGGACGATGTCAACGGCCAAGTGCGTCTGCGCTGCTACAAGGGTCTGACCAGCGTGTTAGGCCGCAGCTCGCAGACTAGCAAGCTGTACAGTCCCGAGCAGAGCAGCATGGATTCCCTTGAGGATTTCCAGCCGACGGATACGACTGGATTCATTGCTACGCAGGCTATTCGGTTGAAGGCGTATGGACTTGCGGAGGCGGAGAAGGGGGTTGACTTGAGTAAGTCGTAGGTTGTTCTTTAGATAGATTTGTTCTTGGATGAAAAAGCTGGAGAGGGCTGGGGATAGTTTTAGTTCCTCGTGCCTCGAATTTTGGTATCCGAGACATATAACCCGACAGGGGGGGAAACTTCGAAAGGTGTCTCTTTTCCTTCTGGTTTCTTTTGAGTATCCCGAAAATCTTTGATAAGGCTATCTACCTTCTACACTTTCCCAAGTTTCCGTTCCACGTCTCTGGTTTTTTCCGTTGTCTTTCTAGTACAATTACGCAAAATATCATAGATGAAAATAATGCTAGTTAAATCGAGACGAATGAATACGGAAAAGAAGTGTTCGTATTGATCAACCAAAATCTAAGGGTCCATGATTTATATTATACTCTATCTAGCTAACCCATCTAGAATTATTGTACATCTACCAAAGTAATATTCCGAAAATTGCCCAATTAAGTCAAGTAACTTGATCAGGCATATA